CGGAATGGCTACAAGTAGTTCGATCCTATCCCTAGGTAGAATCTATAAAATGAGGGTTAACGCCTCAAGTTCTTGTTAATTAATCTTTCCCAACCCCAAATTATCTTTTCCAAAATTAATTCGGAGTTAATGCGCGAGTCCTAGGGTTAGCAAATCCCTTTTGAAACATTAAAGAACAAGAATAATTAAAATAACAATAACTCACTTCATAAAAGAACAAAAATCATTTAATACATAAGCACAACAAGGTATTTAATCCACACTTTAAATATGAGTATTTCCATAAACAAGATTCAAGTGTTTGAAATAAATACTACACACTTAAATATTCAATACAAATCAAGGAAATGAAGAAATAAACATAAATGGGTAAGAAATCTTAACCACAAGCTTCAATCTTCAAAACCCAAGTGTGTGTGCAAAACCCTAGCTTCAATACTTGTTCTCTCTAGCTCTAAGAACTGAAAATAAGCCAAAGATATGCCAAAGATTTGTTTGGACGAGTATAAAAATGGTTTGGGATGAGAACTTGTGAAATGTCAATTCTGCCCAGGTCTGATGCTCGACTTCCGCACCTGCGGAAGAATAATCGCAGGTGCGGCTCCGCATAAGCGGAGCTCCCATTGCAGAAGCGGAATTGTACAATTGTGCTGTCACCGCAGATGCGGTTCTCCAGGCGCAGATGCACCATCGCAGAGGCGAAAAACCAACCGCAGATGCGGTTTCTGAGAATTTATCCGTTTCCGCTGAAGCGGTTCTTTCCTCGCAGAAGCGGGGTCGCTTCTGCGGCCATCCTTCCGCAGAAGCGGAGTCACTGGAAGATTTTGCATGTTTTCACTCTCTTTTGCTCAATTACACTTCAATTCAATTCAAATCACTTCGTAGCATCATTTACCTGAAAATCTAACAATACACACCATAAACAACCTCATATTATAGTTAAAGGACATAAAAGCTAAGGAAAAGAGACTAGAATGAGTGGTAAAATCACCACTCATCAGATGTCATCTGTGATGGACCCTTCGTCCCCATGAACATCATTGGCGAGGGAATAATTACAGTTCCAAAGACAATGAAGGAATATAATGATGCTGATTGGAAGGCCATCCAGAAAAACTTTAGGGCAAGAAGATCCTCATTTGTGGCATTGAACCAGACGAGTACAATCGCTTCTCAGCCTGTCAATCTGCCAAGGAGATCTGGGAGGCTCTTCAAACGGCACATGAGGGAACCACTCAAGTCAAATAGTCAAAATCGACATGCTTACCACTTAATATGAATTCTTCAAGATGAAGGAGGATGAATCTATTTAGGACATGCATACTCGCTTTACTTCTATCATCAATGAGCTTCACTCCCTTGGAGAAATTATTCCAAGGAACAAACTGATAAGAAAAATACTCATTGTGTTACCAGGTTCCTTGGAGAGCAAAGTTAACGCTATTATAGAGGCCAAGGATCTGCAAAAGTTAACCAATGATGAACTCATTGCAAATTTGAAAACCTACGAGATGAAAAAGAAGAAGGATCTTAAACGAAGAGAACCCAAAAGGAAGAAGAACCTGGTTCTCAAGGCAGACAGCGGTGACTCAAGTGGTGATGACACAGACATGGCCTATCTTATCGAGATTCAAGAAAATGGTTCGTAGAAATGGAGGAATCCCTAAGAAAGGCAGCTCTAGCAAAAACACCAAAGGGTATGGCTGTTGTCACAAGTGCGAAAAGCCAGGACAATTTATCAAAGAGTGTCCTCTTCACAAGCAGAACTACAATAATTACAATGCGGACAACGCTGTTAAGAGGAACTCGGTCCCCGACAGGAAGTTCAAGAAAAGAGATGTCGTTGATAATATTATGAAGCAAGCTTTGGCTGCTTGGGGAGATTCCTCTAGTGAATCTGAGGGTGATAATGAACAAGGAGACACCTCCATGATGGCCATTGAAAGCAAAGCTCTAGAGTATGATTCCATATTTGTAGTGATGGAAATTCTGATGAGGATGAAGATAATGATGACGTATGAGGTAAACCTTCTAGACGTTCAAAGAAATTTGAAGTCTTATTCTCAAAAAAAGTTGGTATCTTTAGCTAATGTTTTAATTGATGCTTACCACAACCTCATTAATGATAAAAATGCTTTAACTGGGGAAATTGGAGAGTTAGAACAAGAGAGAGATGATCTGGTGGTTGTAATTGTTGATATGAAGGAATCAATGGATGAATTAAAGAAAGAAAATAACCTCTTAAAGAATTCAATGGAAAAATGCATGAACTCCTCTAAAGGAAAGGAAGTGGCAAGCGAGGCACACCTTAAGCTTTAAAATAAACTCAAAATTGTAAAATTGAGTCTTGTTGCTGAACTTGAAAGAAATAGACAACCTCAGGAAGATTTAAGTAGAGTTAAAAAGGATCTAGATAAATCTCTAAAGTGGACCTGGTCCTCTAATACAATCACTTTCATGTATAAAAGTAATGCGGGAATAGGCAAGGAATCAGGCTCCACAAAGAAAAGGCCCCCTATAACCCACATAGCACGTATGTTACTGTGCCTGATAATTGGCTTTGGACTCACTGTGATAAAACGGATTCTCAATCACAACAGAAAAACAGAATTTTTGTTGAAAAAATATCTACTTCTAAGGAACCTGATTCTCTAAAAAAGTAATGGATGATGCCTGCATGGACAAAAAGAAATCTGATTCGCCCTTTCCCTCATTACAAGAGACTAAAACTTGTTTGGGTTCCTAAGTCTAATCTCTAATTATCTTGTGCATGCAGTAGTGAAAGGAAGCATTCAAAATGGTACATGGATAATGGCTGTTCTAAACACATGACTGGAAGCATGAATGATTTCCTTTCACTCAAGGCCCTGCAAGGTGGGAGTGTGTCCTTTGGAAATGGCAAAAAGGGATACATTCTGGGAGTTGGAAAGATTGGCAAACTACTCTCTCACTCAATTGAGTATTTACATTATGTGAATGGCTTGAAGTATAGCTTGTTGAGTGTCTCTCAAATCTCTGAGAAAGGAAACAAAGTGGGGTTCTTGTCAAAGTCTTGCACTATCACCAATCATATAAGTGATGAAGTAGTTCTAATTGCAAAACGGTTCAAAAACATTTATGTTACAGACTTTGATTCTCTGAATGATGGTAATCTTACATGCCTGAGTGCCATGGATGATGATGTTGAACTATGGAATAGAAGATTAGGACATGCAAGCTTCTCTCTGTTGAACAAGCTAATCAAGAAGGACCTGGTTCGTTGTTTGTCAAAGTCAAAATTCAAAGATCATAAAGTATGTGATGCATGTGTGAAAGAGAAGCAAGTCAGGTCCTCATTCAAATCAAAGAAGTAAGTGAGCACCTCAAGGCCACTAGATCTTCTTCATATTGATCTGTGTGGACCTATGAGGATTCCTAGCAGAGGAGGAAAGAAGTACATCTTCGTTATTGTTGATGTCTGTTCCAGATTCACATAGACCTTATTTCTCAGGACCAAGGATGAAACCTTTCCAGCGTTTGCTGTCTTTGTGAAGCAAATTCAAGTGAGGATGGGCTATAATTTTTTGAGTATTAGATTTGATCACATCACCAGGTTTGACAATTTCAAATTCGATGAATTTTGTGCTGAAAATGGTATTAGTCATAATTTTTCCGCTCCCAGAACATCTTAGCAAAATGTTGTTGTGGAGAGGAAAAATAGGACTCTTGAAGATATGGCAAGGACGATGCTGATTGACAGTGGTGTACTAAAGAGTTTCTAGGCTAAAGCAGTGAACACTACTTGTTATTTGATTAACAGGTGCCTGATCAGGTCCCTGCTTAACCAGGCCCCTTATGAATTGCTTAATGGGAGAAAGCCAAAGCTAACTTACCTAAGTACATTTGATCTCAACAATGATAAGGAAGCACTGGGAAAATTTGATGCAAAAAGTGATGAAGGAATCTTTCTTGGTTAGTCTCCTCAAAGCAAAGCATACAAGGTTTATAATAAAAGGACCCAATGTGTAGAGGAAAGTGTACACTTGATCTTTGATGAATCTCACCACTCAAGTGGGAAAGATCTACATGATAAGGATGATCAAGATGGAGATTATTTGGTCCCTAGAGAGGTTATTGATATGGAAAATGGGAAGGCGGATCTAATGAGTCGAGTCAAGGAGACCAGTGAAGAAGATGCAGCAGAACCTCCAGCTAATTGGGAGGAACCTGGTCCCTCCATCACAACAATTGAAGCTGATACTAGAGTTGCTGAAGTTGTATTAGGACCTTCTAATGCAGAGCAAAGAAGTAGCATTCATACTTCCGTCGATGCCAATGATGGTCACACATGGAGGAACCTGGACCCTCTCATCCTGAGATCCAGGTGTCTAATTGGAAACACAAAAGCTCACATCCTATCTAAAATATAATTACTCCTTTGGATTCATGGATTCAAACTAGATCCAAGGCAAGAACCATTTTGCTTTCTTAGCTTTCTTGTCTCAAATTGAGCCAAAAAATATTAAGGAAGCACTGAAAGATGCTGACTAGATTGCTGCTGTGCAAGTGGAGTGCCATTAATTTGAGAGGAACAACGTGTGGCACCTGGTTCCTCGACCCTTAGATAGAACAGTTATTGGAACTAGGTGGTTGTTCAGAAACAAGCTCGATGAGTTTGGCAATAAAACAAGAAATAAAGCCAGGCTGGTGGTCCAAGGCTATAATCAAGAAGAGGGAATTGATTATGATGAAACATTTGCTCTAGTTGTAAGAATAGAAGCCATCAGAATTCTTATTGCCTTTGCATCTTATATGGAATTCGAATTGTTCGAATTCGAATTGTTCCAATAAAAGTGCATTTCTAAATGGATATTTGAAGGAGGAAATTTTTGTCAAATAACCACCTAGTTTTGAATGCCATGAACATCCTGAACATGTCTTCAAGCTTGACAAGGCTCTACATAGATTGAAGTAGGCCCCTCGTGCATTGTATGAAAGATTGTCCAGGTTCCTTCTGGAGAATGGCTTCACTAGAGGAAAAATTAACAACTCTTTTTCTTAAGAAAAGAGGGAGGAACCTGCTGATTGTGCAGGTCTATGTTGATGACATCATTTTTGGTGCAACAAATGATTCCCTGTGTGAGGAGTTTGCAAAGCTTATGGGAAGTAAGTTGAGATGAGTATGATGGGGGAACTGAACTTCTTCCTAGGGCTAAAAGTTAAGCAAACCTCTAAGGGGACGATGATAAGTCAGTAGAAATACATTAAGGAGCTTCTGAATTTGAGATAGAAAGCTCAAAGATCATTAATACTCCTATTTCTACTGTTACTCGTCTAGACATGGACGAACCTGGTTCCCCAGTAAATGAAACTATGTATCGGGGTATCATTAGATCTCTCTTATACCTAACAGCCATCAGACCTGACACCGTGTTTAGTGTTGGGTTTTGTGCTAGATTCCAATCACGTCCTAAAGAATCTCATTTGAAAGCTGCCAAAAAAATTCTGAGGTATCTCAAATGAACAGAGGACCCGGTCCTCTATTATCCCTCAGGAGATAATTTTTACTTGATTGGGTATGCTGATGCTAATTATGTTGGTTATTTGGTGGATAGAAAGAGCACATCTGACATGGCACACTTTCTGGGATCTTGCTTGATTTCATGGGGTACAAAGAAACAAAATTCCGTGGCCCTCTCTATTGCAGAAGCTGAATATGTGGCAACTGCATCGTGTTGTGCCCAACTTCTATAGATCAAGCAACAATTGGAAGACTTTGGTGTATTCTCTGATTGTATGCCACCGATGTGTGACAACACAAGTGCCCTTAATATGGCAGAGAACCCTGTTCAGTATAAGAGGACAAAGCACATTGATGTGTGACATCACTTCCTGAGAGACAATGTTGATAAAGGACTCATTTGTATAAGTTCTGCAAGATAGAGGACCCGGTAGCAGATATCTTCACTTAAGCACTGAGAAGAGAGCACTTCAAAAGAAATCGACTGGAGTCGGGTTTGATCAAAATGAACTGAGAACGTAGTCCCTCAATGATTGACTATGAAAGGATGGTAAGGTAAATTGCTAAAATGTGTTTTCTAGCAACTTCTAACTCTGTTCTATATCGTTACAGGTAAACACGCATGGCAACTACAGGACAAACAAGCAACAAATGACATTGCAATTTTTGGAACGCTGATGCTCATATTTTCAAAATCTGTCAGGGAACCTGATTCCCATGACTTAGGTTAGTAGTTCCTCTTACACTCATACACATTTTTGAACTACTAGTGTGCCGCGTTATTAATTGCCTCCACTTCGTCTCATATCTCTTAAACCGTCCCGACAACCCATCCGTTTTTCTCATACCTTATTGTAACCGTTCCCTCTTTTTCTTCTAAATACCCCAAACCCTCTTTTTGTGTCTTCCCTCTCTCAAGATCAACCATGTTTTCACCATAATATGAGTCTCCCAAAGCCACTAAATACATCCCTTTTTGTGTCTCCATCTCACAAAGTACAGCCATCTAGATTGGAGTGTCGGTTTCTAATATGGTGGATGGTATGGTTGTATCTGGTGTTTCTGAAACTCAATGTGCTCGGCGGTTTGATCTGAATATTTCGTCAGCATCAAGTAATGCTCCACCCTCTTCTACTGGTACTGTATTAATGAATATTGAGGGTGAAATAGATGAAATTTCTTTATCTGTTGGTGCTATGAAAAGTTTAGTGGGAGGTTCTTTGACCAACGATGTTGTTGCTGGGACTCAGGGGGGAAGAATGAGGGAACGAGGACTTGGTGCGTCAAAATGATCAGGTACCGGTCAGTACTACATGGGAGCCTATAGAGGGACCTAGTCCCTCTGCCAAGACGTGTTATCTTCTCCCACTTCGAATGAAACTCCAAGCTCTACTAGGTAACCCCTAGATAGGGTTGACCCTACCACTTTTTGCTCACCCTGTTATAGTCCCTTTGGATAGATGAAGTCTGTGTCGAAGGGAGATTTCGGTGGCAGTGAGGAGGACCTAGATAATCTGTCTGTACCCAGAAAAAGATTGCTCTTGACAGTATACTAAATGAGAATAAGGAGAAAACGAAAAGGAGAACTCTTGTGAAAAGTAGACTCGCTGATGAGGAGGATGTGCCTTCGGCGGATGTTGTAAAGGTTGAGAATGAGGAGACGGATCAGGAACTTGCTCCACTTGTTAGAAAAATATCTAAGAAAGCAGTTTCTGTTAAACAAAAGAAGGTTTTATCTGCAAAAGTTGCTAAAGTTGGTGGTGAGCAAGAAGCTGAGAAGGAGAAGATAGTTGAGAAGCAGAACACTGTTGAGAAGAAGAAGCCTCTCAGAAAGAGGCCAATTATTTCTATTGATTGTCTTTTAAATTTGATACAAGTTTTTTCCTTGACCTTTATGTGAGTGCATAAGATTGAAGTTTATCTATTTGTTTTTGTTTAATTTTTTTTTGAATGCGGTCGCTAAATTTAGTCTGTGATATACATCTGTTTCTATTATTTCTCACCACTCTTTTTTTTTCATTTGAAACGATCCGCACAACACGTGAGTATGTATACTAATATTAATTAATTATAATTTGATGATAATAATGTCTATGAAGACAAATGTTATATACCTAGCTGGATTGATGTAAGCACCAAAATGAGATTGTTACCGTCGATGTGCTCGACGGTCATTCTTATTTATAATATTGTTACAAGGCTAATGTCGAACTTATGTCATTAATAAATACTTCACTTCAAAAGTATCATAACTTAATTCATTAAAGAAGTTAAAAGTATAGTAATGAATATCAATGTATAGTAATTCGAAACTGAAGATTTTACTTCAAGTTCCAATCATTGGTAAGGTTGGATATGAATCTAGGCAAAAGACATACTTTACTCATTGACCTTGTACTCAAATTTGTCTTACATACTTGTTAAATACGGGAATAGTATTACACACCAAATTTTTTAAAATTGTGTCTATTACACAGCTCTTTTGTCATGTGTCACACGCGTGTATTACACATAAAAAAGGCGCGTGAAAACTAAAAAATTCATCTGAAATTAATTTTTTATCTGTTTTAACTATTTCCTTTTTAAATTAAAAAATATAACCCATGTCTTCTTCCCTAACCCCAAACCCCAGCGTCCCCCCCCCCTTCCTGTCTCCTCTTCTTCCCCAACTCCCATCCTAGTTTTGTCTACCCCCCCTCATGTTTCCTCTCTCCAACCCCTGTGACTAAGAAAAAAAAGAAAAAAAAGAACAGAGGAGCTATTGGGTCTTGTAAAAATAAACGTTATTGACCTTTCGAAAATCTTGAAAATTTAATCGAGTCTTGTTGTTTTTGGTGTTCCATGACCTAGAAAATTAGTTTGAATTCATGATTATTATTGGGTAAAAACTTACTTAAAACATGCTGAAAATTTGATGATTAATTTTGATGAAATTCAAAAACACCATTTACATGTAACCTTGGGTTGAGCTTGAATTTGAAATTTGTATTTGGATTTGTGATGGATGTTAAAACTTGTTAAAAATCGGCAAAGAGTTGAATCTATAGCTAGGGAAGAAGGTGTTTGTGGTGGAAGCTTTGGTGGTAGTATGATGATGGTAGAGAAGATGATGAGATTGGGAAGATGAGGAGGGGGTGGGTTTTTTCTTTTCTGTATTTTTTTTCTTTGGGAAGATTTGGGGGGGGGGGGGTGGTGGCAGAGATTTTTTTTTTCCATTTTTTTTCTCGATTTATGACACGTGTCAGATGTTGATTGACGCGCGTAATAACAATCTTTAAGCAGATATGGTCAAACACCGAAGTGGTGTGTAATTGACACACCTTTAAAAATTTTGGCATGCAATATTATTCCCGTATTTAATAGATGTGTAAGAGGAATTTAGGGACAAAGTACATGGGTAAAGTATGTATTTTACCTATGAATCTATAACATCAGAAAATTGAAAAGAGTACATAAAAATTTGCAATATTTTCGTTACATTCCGTTATACTTTTGAATTTCAAGTTTCTGCTCCTTCTCCTGAGAAAATAAATAAAATAAATATGAATCGACAAAGCATATATTCATTCTCCTTTCTCCGCACCCCCTAAGTTTTCTTATTGTACATAGAAAATCTCGTCACAAGGTATAATAAATATTTAAAAGAAAAAGAAGCAAGAATAGCAAGTTGATTCGTTGAAAATAAATTAATGTCAGAATATATTAATATTATAGCTGTATAGCAAAATTGTCAGAATATATTTATATTATAGTTCTATAGCAAAGTACACTCGTCGATTCGTATGATACAGAACTGTCATATATTGCTTGGGCAAACGGAAAATTACAGGATTTAACTAATTAAATAAAATCAAGTTGATTTCTTAAAAACTAATCTAATACTTGTCAGAGTAATCATTGAAGTTGAATAATCGTAAAAACAGTACATTCAATAATCCGTATGGTACTGCACATGTCAAACATATATTCAGATGCGAGGAAAATAGTATAATAATATTATATTTAAGATTAATAAATTTTTGCCTCATACACTCCAATGTATTACTGCATGTAGTCAATGTTGATTAGCAACTCCCAATACTTTGACCATAAGCAAATCCAATAAGGGGTTTTTAAAACAGAAAAAATAAATAAATTCAAGTTGATTTATTGAAAATTAATGCAAAGTGCAAACAAGAGTACTACATTAGTGTATATTCCATTATTATTGTAGTTCTATAGCGCAGTACACTCATTAAATGCGTGTTGTACAATACTTGTTAAGCATTTATTAATTTGGTAAGACGACAAATGATATAAATATTACATATCTAATTAATTAATCTTCCCCCTAAGTGTGAATGCATTTTAATTAATTAGCAGCTTCGAGAAGGGATTTACAGAATGTACGGTCCATGAACATGCAACAAAAGTAAAGTAGTTGGACCAATTTTATTTTATTTTTGGAATGGCCCGCAAAAAATAAGGAGTAAATAACAATAGCAAAAAGTAGTAAGAAAACAGTAAGTTCACATGTCACATGTGTTGGTGTTTGAATTTGGCTATGACTTTTAAAAAAATGGTAGTACTCTCTAGGACCTTGGTAGAAAGTATAAGTTGTCTGTTTATTAAGAAAATAATTTTTCTTTTTAGTTTTTTACCTGGTATATGATATATGTATTGAGCTTCAACTATATCTAACTTAGCACCGAAAAATTTTATATTGGAGAGAGGAGGAAAATGCTCCGTAACAAAAGTGATTTTCATACCTAATTAAGGTTCTCACCCAAAACATTTGTTTAAGGATAGTTGAACACTTACCACTTCATCATAGTTCTTGTTAGGAAGAAAATAAATTAATTTTTATATAATCAATATTTTTGCTTTTGCTTTTGTTATGATCGAACCTTTTGTGTTTCTTTTGGCAAAAAAGGGTATTGAGTTTCTTTAATGAAAATGTAACATTTCTAACCGTTTGAATTTCGAGAGGTTAGGTGATTATTTATTTAGTGGTTAAAATTGGCAGAATACAAATAAAATGATTTGGTTATTATATGGCACAACAAAATATACTCTAGCAACTTGATTTACCATTAAAAATTAAACAAAATGCACAAAGTTTAGAACATTATGGCCTGTTGAAGTCAAAGTTGGGTCATGATCGCCTGG